ACTCCTCTTGAACCAAAATTCTTTTTTTAGAGGTTAGTGCATTATTTTTAATTAAACCATTTTTAAAAAAAAGAAATACAACAAAAAAAACATAAAGCTAACATTAAGACCTTTTAATCAACAGTAAAGTTTTTTTTAACAAGATTTAAAACTCTTTTATTAAAGTTAAAACCTCTTTTAAAGTTTTTTTTTTCCAAAATTAAAATCTTTTCTTAAAACTAAAACTTTTTTCCTAAATTTAAACCACCTTTTTAAAATTTAAATCTAAACTTGTAAATTAAAACCATTATTTATTTAAAGTTACTACAAACCTTTTTAAAAATCTATATATATCTATATAAAACTTATAATTAAAAACCATTTTTTATAGTTTATAATTAGTTTATTTTTTTAATAACTTGAAATTATATTTTTTCTGATGACTAATAATTAAAAACATTTAATAGCTTATAGTTAGTATTTCCTTTTTTTATAATTTATAGTTAGTAACAGTTTTTTATGATTTATAGTTAATTTAGTTTTTAATAAATTGTAATTAAAAAAAAATATTTAGATTTCTAATTTATGACGTTCCTAACATTTTTTTTCTCAGTTGTATAGTTTATTGATCCTTTATTTTTTGCACTCCAATTTATAGTTGTAATTTACGCGAGGCAATCGTCACTCTTATTTCATTATTATTCTTGCATTTTCCATGGATGTAATTTACACGAGGCCATGGTCGCGGTTTATTTTTTATTTCGCATTTTTTGGGGATTTGTAATTTACGCGAGTGATCGTCGCGATGCTTTTTCCGCTTTCTTTACTTTCTGCACTTTAATTTCCGCCATATAATAATTTGCCATGTTTTGCATGATTTACCGTTATGTTCATCTCCGAAGGAATTAGGTCTAGCCGTTTGAACACCGAGTCAATAACCCTAACCTTTGACCATTTCCAAACCTTAAGAGCCTAGGTGTCTCGCCGTGGACGAAAATACCCTTTACCCTAGCTTTAGGTCAAAGAGTCGCCGTACTCTGCTTTAGGGTTTCCCGCCGTGGAATCCATAATTTCAACCCTAATTTTAATTCAACTTTTCAACATAGAAATAGGAGTTTTAAGACTTCACGTAAGCGTGTCCTTAAGATACGTTTACTCCCATTGAAACCTTGACCACGGTCAAGAAGTTTCTAACCTCCCTTTCGAGGGGAACTACAATTACTCTGATTCCATTCCCGTCAGGATATGTAGGCACAAGATGCGATGTCTTGCCGAGTAAACTTAAGATTAACCCTTAGGTTTTTTGGTCACTCTATCCCTTAGCTCAATATATATTAAAGCAGATACTAAAATAAAAAAGCATACAAAAAACAAAAGGTTCCTGTAGAGTACTACAGAAGTTTAGGGTGTTAGTACCTTCCCTAAGCTTAACCAACCCCTTACCTAGATCTCTCCCCGCATTGTCTTTACGATGCAAAATTAGATTTTTCTCTTTTGACATTTTCCTTCGGATAAATCAAAGAGCGGTTGTGAACTAAAGATGCGATTCAAATTAATTAATAATTTGATATCATATTCTAACCGCAACAACAGTCTACCAATTCCTTTGAAGGAACAGAAGCATTTAAAATATCCGCAGCCAATCGCTTTGATGTAGAAACATGTTTAACCAAATCTATGTTATTTTTGGAGGTAAATTCAATTTCCTGGAATTGAAACAAAACAGATTGAACCAACGTGTAAAAAAGAAAAGTGGATTCAAGAAAACATAAAATTTGACCAAGTAAAAATGATGTAATGTTGGATGATTTTTAAAAACTTACTGCTATTAAATCCCATTCCCCAATTGGCATGGCTTTATCAACACTTTTCGTAATCTACAAAGAAATAAACGTGCTAAATCAACACAAAAACATATAAAATGAAATAAGTAGAGAAGGAATAATAAGTTATTTGGTTCAAACAATAACCTGCAGGAGGTCATCCAATTGAGGAGTAGTGTGTTTTGTCTGATCGATAAATACAAAAACAAAAAATGTTAACATTCAAGCACTAGATATAATGTGGAAGGCAGTAAAGTCAGTTTGAATAATTGTACCATGACTGGGGCAATAGAAGATTCGAGCTGTTTAATGACACTTTCATCTTGATATATGAAGACAGCTAGTCCATTAGCCCATGATGGTTGCCACTTAACCTTAAAAACGAGTTTGACACCAACCAAAGCATCAAGGGCTGAAGGAAATTCAATAGGGTCAGTGACTCCATCCTATTTGAAAAGGGGTATGAAAATGATAAGAATTAGTACTGTTACATCCTAAAAGTAGTGTCTGTCAATAATCCTCAGTTATTTGCAAGTCAAGATTAAAAGAATAGAATTCGACCTTAATCATGTTGATGCGCATTTGATCAGCAGTTATTTTTAACAGTTGTGAACACTCACGGTCCCATAGAACAAACTTCGCACGACAACCGTCACTTACGACTTCAAGCATTATCTTATACCTAATTATGCAAGTTTATTATGTCCACTTAGTATTGTAAAATATGAAAAATTTAAATGGAAAATGTTAGTAAAGAATGATTTGTAAATATCAGTCTCCGTATTATGGCCAACACCACATATGTATGGTGGCTGTTGTCTCTTGACAACCCTTGGACACTCATGATACGTTTGGTAATACCAACCCCCATGGGATGATTTAAATTTGTCTGTCTTTGCCACCGTAACACATTGGATGATTTGTTATTTAATGAAATAATATATATTTCGTACAACATAAGTAAGAAAAAATAGAGAATTATGATAGAACAACAAAGATGAAGGCATAATAATAGTTGTTACATCTTTAAGTTGCATTATATCACTTAGAGGAAGTAATATGGCCTTATACATGAATTTGTCATAAGGGGTGAGTTGAGAAGAACCGGAGGTCTGAGACCAGTTCTGTGACAGTGTTGTCAAGGTATTACTTGATCCCTTTTTGGCTTCAATTGTTAGGATCCTATGTTATAACACACCAAAAAAGGATAAGCATCCATTAATGGTATGTGCACGATACATAAATACGGTAAAATATAGATGATATAACATGCAAGAAGTCATTACCTCTTTAGAAGTTCCTTAATCTCAGGTAAGTCATCATTGATGTGCAACTTAGTTACATTGAATGTGTTTGAAACACATAAAGGATACTTACTTAAAAAAACCATTTTAAAAGAAAGATTGAAGTGGCGTAAATAAATGTTACACCCTAAATATGTAACAGAAGAATATAACAGTTGTATACCTTCCTCTTTTACTTTAGCAAATTGTAAAAGGATTATTGCCGGTTCCAAAGTGTCTTTTGCAGTCTGGAGGTACTGATGAAACTGAAGAGCATAACCTTCCCACAATGTACAATGTATTGTGTTGTTACTGCATGAATATGAAATAAGATGGATAACAAAAGGTTATACGGAAGGAGACAGAACACCAAAATACAAAGAGACGCAATAAGTAGGGATACAAACCCCAAGTCCTTTAACACAAAATTAACTTCTTGTTATTTTATGTCCACTCTGCATCTGTGTGTAGCCAATGTCGGTTACAATGCCCTTAATATCTGCAACACATACACTACTATAAGAAACAAGCATTTATGGCATAAAGTTTATTATACAATATGAAATATATTCTTTCAAACATACATAAACTTACCAATTAAAAGATCCCTTTTCCATTTTCCAGTAATAATATCAGCAAAGGGTGTGAAGATTAAATTCTTTGGAGGTATGTCATGCTTATTTTTGTCACAAACTATAGTACCACCGTTGAATATCAACACATATTTGTGGCCAGGCGGTTTGAACACGACATCATTCAGAATGACTTAGAAATTTGCAATCCTATATGTGTTATGGACCGTCAACACAGAATCAAAAACTTGTTTAAACATCGTTGAAACTTTTATTTGAATGTCTGTACCCTGAATTTTATAAAGATGTATGAAAGATACTCACACAATACATGAAACACATTTCTATTTTTAAATGCGGGAAAATTCATATATGGCATGTCAAATATGTAAGTTATGTAACAAATGAAAATAGAAAGAGTGAAGAAAGTTCAAGGAAAATCACCTCTTGATCAACCACAATCATCTCAAAGTGGTCTTTATTCCTTGAAACCACATTTCATTTATGATGAATTCTCACCGCAATCTTCCAAAGCTCCTTACCATCATTGATGTCTTTAATCATTGAGAAGGATCTTGCCATTGTTGTTGTTGGTGAGTTTGGAAGAACAAAAGTTGGTGTATTGTTTAGAAGACAGGAGATAAAAAGTGTATTTTTTGTGTTTGAAAAGTGGGTGAGAGAAGAAGAAGAGTTCAAGCGCAGCTTCCCATGGTATGATGCGTTGGGAACAAAATTTTGTTCTCATCATGTCAAGTCTCAGCTAAAGCAAAATAGGGTGATGTTCCTAGAGACCAAAATAGTTGTAGCAAAAAGTTGAAAAGGTGAACTGACTGGGCACTGTTCCGTCACGTTTGGGAGAAAGATTAGTGTGTGTAGTGTCAATGACATAGTTAGTATCGAATGAGAACATGATTTAGTTAAAAATGATTGACTTTGGACTCAATTTATCCCTAATTTTGTGAGGTGACATGTTTAAACTTAGTTCGGTGTTAACCATAACATATAAATATCTTATATTATAGATTAAAATTTCTTCCTCTCCTCCTCTTCCCCGCTTATGAACCAAATATACTGAATTAAAATATATCCTCTCTCAGCGCTTATGAACCAAATATACTGAAATAAAATATATCTCCCCCTCCTCCTTTCTCTTTATTAAAATTCTTTCCCCTCCCTTCTGTTGAACCAAACCGATAAAAATTTGATTAGATAACCATTAATTTCCTTTATGTACCTGGTGAATTAGTTAGGGATTTAGGAGAAGAAAAAAAAAGTCCGGCCACTGAAGTCACCGCCTCATACGAAGGAGCTTACCGGCTCACTTCACCGGCACAACCCTCCGAATGGCTATGCAACCGTTCGATCCGTATTACATGTACCAGCCAGATGAACGGAGCAACATAAACACGCTCTTCGTCTCCGGTCTCCCAGACGACGTGAAGGCGCGTGAGATTCACAACCTCTTCCGCCGCCGCCCTGGCTTTGACTCTTGCCAACTCAAGTATACCGGCCGTGCTAACCAGGTACTCATTCTCAGGTCGATTTTCGACAAATGAAGGTTCTGTTGAGTGTTGCAATTTTAACGGAAATTGAAATTCGTGAATTTTGTTTGAGTTAGTGAAATTTCGCTTTTCTTTTCAGGTTGTTGCATTTGCTACGTTTTTCAATAATCAAGCAGCAATGGCAGCGTTGCACGACCTAAATGTGAGTGTCTAGTTTCGAATATCACAATCCACTGTAACACTTAAAGTTAGGAGTTTAATTGAAGATATTAGATAGCTTAATTTTAAGAAATTACAGTTATCTGTTATGATTGTTGTTCCTTGGTATTGGGAGAAACCTTAGTCCCAAATTGGTTAAAGATTGGGCCTAATTAGGGTTCATACAGGGTGACACCCCTCACCTTAAAAGTCAGTTTTGTAGGGGTGAATTAAATCAAACTCTAATTCTAAGATGATATCAAGAGCTTATTGATTCGGTTCACCCTCCATTTATATATCCTATCCGGAATGTTAGGACGTGTATTTAGAGAAACCCAAATCTCACATCGGTTAAAGATAGATTTTAAGAATGATTTATATAGTACAGAGTGACACCCCCACCTTACAAATTGGTTATGTAAGGATGAGTTAAGCCAAACTATAATTTTAAGACTAGTCTTGTTCTGTTGTGAAATATCCAAACGATGGAATGAAATCTCCATTCCACTCCCGCTCATATCCATCCCACTCCATTTATTTTAAGATATCCAAACATAGTGGACACAACTTTATTAGTTCTCAGGCATGAGTAAGTATCTAATTTGGTAACTAAAATCGTAGGACTATATTAAAGGTTTAGTCCCTACATTAACTATATACCAAATATTTTTTTTAGTAACATCCCTTGAGTATCCGGTTACACCCCGAAATGATCCAAGTATTCCTATTGTAAAATTAAATTTTCAAAATCAAACTCTTTGACCCATTTTCCATTTTGAGAGTCTTTGTCACCTATCTCTTCATCTTCACTTTCTCCCTCTTCCGTTGTCTTCTTGTGTTCTCCTCTCCCTTTTTCAGATATCTTCTCTGAATTTATATTTTCAATAAATTCATAAGTTACTGTTTGATATTCGACAATAAATATTAATTGCACAGTGATGTATCACACATAACACTTCTAGTTCTAGTTGTTGAGTTCACTTTGTGACCATGAAGAACTTCGGCATTGATGAAAGCATGTTTAGACAACAAAATAGGCATAATGTGTACATACGATCTTACCCGTCAGCAACGTTACAGAGGTATTCAGTATTCACGTTGAACTTCTCTTACATGAACTAAGTGCTCATGAATTCAGTTAACATATTAAGTCTGTAAAACAAAATGTACGTTAATTTAATTCACGTATGAATACGTGATAACAGTTAACATAACATAGTGCCTGTATTTTCAGTGTTTTGTTGGTTTGTGAACTAAGTTTGTACGCACTAACATGAATTAAATTAATGTTAAGTCTAAATTTAAAATTTTAAGCAACTCACGATTTGAAAACACAGCAAACAAAAATACAAAAAGCATTGAATCATAAAAAAATGCAGAAAATCGCTAAACCTAAGCAAAAGAGTTTTAATGGAAGACTTTGTATTTCAATCTTTATCCTTTCATCAAGTTTGGTTACATATCCATGGATGATTGTGAGACGGATGGAGATTTCAATTGAGAGATAAATTGGGATTCTTGAAATATTTATATGAATAAGGGCGATTTTGGCATTATGATTAATTTTTATAGATTTGGGTGTAGCCGAATACTTTTGGGGTGTTACTAGAAAAAATCTATACTAAAATGATCTAGAAATTGTAAATGTTAGTTAAGATTTGTACCTTCGTTGGTAATTGCTGGGACTATAATGGCATTAAGTTGATTATGTCTGGGATGCATTTGAGATTAAGTAAATAATATCGTAAATGCATTTGATAACACATCAAGACAGACTAACCTGATTAACATATTACGAATCTAAGGATTATTTTGAAATATTGACGTGGAGGATGAAGTTGATGCAGTCCAACAATTTCAGTGATCAATTTGGGTATTTACTCGCGTAAATGTACTGTAAAAATTCGCGTATGACATGTTTATTGTCTATTAGCTGTCTGTGTTATTTTCAGTAAACTCTTCATAACAACTTATGAATAACACTTAATAAGTCTCTCAAATTTCTTATTGAATTAACATTTAACTAAACCTTTTAACCAAATGCTTCCTGAGTGATAATGCAGAAGCTATGAAGTTGCACCGAATCAGATGTTAGTTATAGTGACTTCACTTGACGACATGCTCTGAAAGAAGTCCTAGGAGTTTTAGAGGATTATATATGTTTCAAATTTGTTATTCAAATGTAGTGGTTTGATAGATACATAAAGAGGGTTATATTTACAAATATAATGTTGACAATTTATAGAAGTTGGTCTTCGATCTAATATATCTTTTTTACTTAACGATTGTCAGGGTGTGAAATTTGATCCTCAATCTGGGTCCGTCTTACATATTGAACTTGCCCGATCAAACTCTTGGAGGAAGCGAAAAGGTATATATATTGTGCATGAAAGTATCAACTTTCAAGATATAATGCTAACTTAGAGGTCTTCTTGTTTTCACTTTTATTCCATTCCTTTTTTCCTTCTAAGCATTTTTCTTCCATTCTTCCCAATTTATTTATTTTGATGAACTATGGAGACGTTCAATGTGTTTTATAGTGTGTTTGGCTAAACAACTTCATTAAGCACATATTGAATAAACACTTATCATAAAATTGATTATGTATAATTTGTTTCTATAATCGAAGATAAATGAGCCCGTTTGCTTTGGCTTTTTAAAAATGATTTTTAAAATGTAACATAATTTTGTGTAAAAAAAATTATAAAAGAAACTTTTCATAAAAGTTTCGAATGAATATTTGGTTTGAATGGTTATTCTTAAAATGTTATTTTAGATATATCAAAATTTCAAAAAATCATTTAATTTTGAAGTTATTTCAAATAGATTTTCATAAAAATCATTTTTAAGATACAACTTTTTGAAAAAGTTGCGACTTCGACTATGTTTTGATCTCCAATATTGTATGTTTATGTTATACGATGTCAAAATTAGTCTTTTAATTTAGAAAACTGAATATAAAAAAAAATTGTAATATTTTAAAAAACAGTTTTATAAAATTCATTTTTTTAAAGCTAAATTAAACAGGTCCAAAGTTGACTAACTTATTACCTGGAAGTTGTTTATATAAACAATCTGGGACATCTTACTAAAATAAGCTGAAAACAACTTATAGACATATGATAAATTATTTTTATTAACTTAATCCTAAAAATTTCACAAATGCCTGTGACATAAGGTAAGCTTATATTAGTTGTAATGTCTAAATAAGCTTTTTCCAACTTATTATTTTGTACGTTTACTGTTTTTCCAGGATGATTAGTGGTTTTATTTTGTACTCAGGTGGTGGAGCCTACGTGGTTATAGATAAAAGGTCCAAAGGGGAAGCCAATGTTCAGGGAGCCTCTAGTGATGATGGTATCGTTTCTTAGATTATAAGTTCAAGGCAACATATACATTTTCTATTCTGAAATGCGACTGATAATATGGCTAGCAAGTTGCTACTATTTCATTGTTGACTCTCTATAATACATTCATAGCTATTTGTCCCTCTCAATTGAAATTAAGTAGGTGATATTATAATTTAATGAGGTAAAAAGTAGGAAAAGGTAGCTAGGTTTCTTACTCATGCTGCCCCTCTTATTTTGGTTGCTTACCTGCACATGTTTTCACGTTTAGGTGAAAGTGATGCTGATGAACCATCAGAAAATGGAAGCAACCATGGGGATATAGCAACCACCCAAAGGTTGAGATTAATTTTAATATTGTTTTCCATACCTAAAAAATTGCACAAGTATTTTAAATTTTCGATCTGGTCACCAAGAATGTTATATTTTCTGCTTGTGTGCAGTGGCGATGCTGTTGTTGGTTCTGACAATCGTGTACCTGGAGCAAGGGTACGTGAAACCCAGCATTAGCAATATGTTGGAAATTAGAACACTATCTCATTGCATTTGTAGAAGTCATAAAACATCCAATATTCTTTCTCTCATGAAGTGTTACGTTCACAGATTTTTTTCCTTTCTGCGTTTTGGCCAAACCATTATGAACCCATACAAAATTGTGTAATTTGTTAATAAAAAAATATTGTGTAGTTTGTAAAAAGTTTCTTTTCATTTTCACATTAAGCACTTATGAATATGATGTTCTCAAATTGGTTGCAGGAGCAACATGGAAAGGGTGGTGGTGATGTAGGACCATGTTCCACTCTTTTTATTGCAAATCTTGGTCCAAACTGCACTGAGGATGAATTAAAGCAAGCTTTTTCTGTGTGAGTTGCTGCTTCTATTTTGTATTCATGGTTTTGCGAAGGATCTCTAATATTGTTAATAAAATTGGAAAAGCGTTCACCCAGCTGGTTCTTGATGAAAATCTAGACCTACGTTGTTCATCATCTACTTGCTTTTGATTATAGAACTTAATGTTTCAATCCATTTTTCTAGGCATGCTGGATTCAACTTGGTCAAAATGCGTTCAAGAGGAGGAATGCCTGTAGCATTTGCTGATTTTGAGGTAAGTCAGTTGCTCTTGCTGATTATAAAGCACCAACAAGCGCGCGCACACACACACGCACACATTCAAAAGACACTAGGTACCTTAAAACTTACATTAACTAATAATACTTATATTATTGTAGGGTACAAAATTAACCAGACATGCATCAATTTTTCATGTATTTTAAATTATTTATTATCTGTTAAGTTAAAACAAGACGCAAATCAATTTAATACTTGAAGTATAACTAAGCTAGCCAAATCTATCAAATTGCCATGCCCTGATTTTTTGTTCATTTATTGATGATCTTATCCACCTTTCTTCTTTTGACAGGAAGTTGATCAAGCTGTTAAGGTCATGGAAGAGCTTCAGGGAACCACGCTTCCATCATCAGATCGGGGTGGCATGCACATAGAGTATCTTCTAACCTTATGGATTTTATCAAATTTTTGTGTCGCTATGTTGTATAATACTTCACATTTCTTACTCTTTTTCTCTCCTTGGTTGTGCTCTCTAGATATGCAAGGTCTAGAATGAGGAAGAAGCGGTAGAAGATATTGGAGATAGACCATTTATGGATGATCCAGGTTCAATAAAAAAGGAATCATTGTGTTCCCTCTGGAATAGTTTCAAAAAAGAGAAAGGTTGGTAACATGTCCCATTTGCAATTTTCAAAACGAGTACAACAAACGGTTACGTCTTAACCATGTAATCTGTTGGAATGAGTTGAGGAAAGGTTGCAAAACTTGAACCAGACCCTGTACCGAAACTATTTCTAATATCTTAATTGCAGATGCTGTTTAAATGATAAACAAAGTTTCCATCTTATTAACAGTGCACTTTTTTTCCAATATATTTTCCAACAGGTTTTATTGTTTAGATTACCCATAACATTTTTTCCTAAAATACATATAAGAATATCTAAACAATGAAATGTGATTATTCATGCATATAAATTCATTTTTTAAATTAACAATAAAAGGCTAACAATAGATGAGTCGGCTATTGAGCAGTGAAGTTCTTTGAGTGATGCTAGTAGACAGAATGAATAACCAATATTTGAGAGTGTGTGACATTAAATTATATTGTGGGAAAAAAAAGAAGATTATTTGACATATTGAAAGACGAGGTGTCATGCTATTACTCTGCGATTCTGTTTTAGTAAGTTATAAATATAATAAATTCTCGGTAGAGCTTTCTTACAATAATTTAAAACACACATTTGATTGTTTGATCTAAATGATTGATATCTAAAGGTGAGAGTAAATCTCTGACCCAGGAGACCAATAGTTAATTTTCTTTTTAAAAGCCCAAATTGCATTAAACAAAAGAGAGCACAAGCAGTGCAAAATGATACAAGGAGAAGCAAAGCAAAGGACACAACATAGACTAACAGACTTCAGCACCAGAAATAGCTCAAGATCGCAGCAAAACACTAACAATGATACAAAAAAAATCTCTAAAAGAGAAACACCACTAACACTAAACCAACACAAAACCACCAAGCCCCCAACATCCACCCATCTAAGAACACCCTTTAGAGGAACAAAACACCTGCAGCTATCCAACGACGGGAGCAGCTTCACAGCAAGACTAGGATTGCCCACATAAGGGATGCTGCAGAGCTGAGCCGAAATTCCTCTGAACAAAAGACACGCCAATTTGCATACCAAGAAACCCGCTGCCACAATCTGAAAAACCAGCCCTTGACAAAACAGAAAACCAGCTGCCACTATCAATCGAAAACGCCAATCCAAACTACTTAACCTAACACCTGAAGCCACCAACAACCTGAACAAATGAAATCACGCCCAAAACCCGCTGCCTAAATCACGAACGATGCAAAACCTCAAACTCGGAAATAACTGAAACAAGAAGATGCACACCCACCACTAACTGCCACAACAAAAAACCAAAAACAGCGCCAAATGCTCTAGTCAAGGAACACTCGAAATGAGAAGTCTGACATCGCAACAAAGATCCAACAGAGCCAAAAAAATCTCTACACCAAACAACAGAATAATCCCAAAGAAACCACAGGACTTGTCTCCTGATTAAAAACTCCAATTTGGGAAAATCTGACTAATGCAGAAACACTAAATCTAACCAAATGCCCATTAGGCAGTAGCAGTGAAAATTAGGATTGAGCTGATTCTTAGCAGCTTGAGATTACAAAAATATTAGGTACCGATTCACAAAACCACCAAAGCTGACAGAAACCACACTTAAACCTGATCAAGCTGAGATTACAAATATTATTCAATTTGCAAGAGAACCTCATAGTCAGCACAGCTCAGACAAACAAGCTACAGAGACAAACTTGAAACAAATAACTAAATTATGCCATCAACATATTATGAGTTAAACCAAACTGAAGGAAATGATAAATCCCCTCAAGCACTACAGCATTGCCAGACTAGATCAGAACAGACTCACCCTAACAATAGAAATTGCCTCCTGATGCCAGACATGAGGTCTATTAAAACCACTCAAGAGAACTCGATCAAACACCAAACTTAATCATCTATAACACCCAGAACTGACCTTGGGTTTTAACACAACCATGTTTCGTTGAAATCCACTTCCTTTGACTTTACTTTCAGCCACTTCCAAGCATCCATTTTAACATTCTCTACCAAATTTCCTGGGTCTATGTTCTTGTTTTGGAAAAGTTTCTAGTTTCTCAATTTTCAAATAATCAATGCACCTTACAAATAAGATATTTTGAACTCTTTAGTAATAATCAATGCACCTTACAAAATTCTCAACATATCATATTCAATTCAAGTCAATAACCTAAATTCACCCGCACTTTCTTAATCCCCATTTAAGTCAACTACGATCTAAATGAAACTCTCATTGTCGCATTTGCCTGACAAATTCTTCTTGACGCAGCTAGTCTTATGCAATTGAAACACTTATATTTCTACTCACCAAACACCATTTGACTTGGGCTTTAATCTATATTTCTCCTTCCTATGATATCTTCTACTCTAATTTATTTGCCTTGAAACATTCATGCATTCAACATTATTATGAACCTTCATATCCTTCATCTTGGTTAATTAAATGGATCTAATAGTTTATTGGACCTTATCCAAAGTGATGATTCCTTCTTTATCATAAAGAAGAACATCCTTAAAATACTCAAAGGATCTAGATAATAAATTCCACAAAAGTGCAACCTTATTATCATCATTACGACTCATCTCAATATTTTTGAAGTCATTAGAATTTTATTAAAGGTTGTCGATAGGTGAACAATATACTTTGACTATATCTTTCTAAATTTGTAGAGTTATTGTTTCAAGGATATTCAACGAGCGTATAATTTGGTCGTGTATAATATTTATATCTAATATATAGAATAACGACACTTATCCATAATCTCGATCTTTTAATCTTATTAACAATCTCGATCTTCTTTGTATGTCTTGGATTTGTTGGAATTTGTGTCCCATCTTTTAATGCATCGGCACATTTTTATTGAATTAAATTGCTTGTATCTTCACCTTCAACAATTTAAAATGTATGAAGGAGAGTCAACTCTCTAATCTACTATGAATAAATTGTTACAAAATTACAAAGAAGTAAAAAAAAAATCATCTTTCAAAGTTCTCGAAAAATAGTCCATAATTTCTAACCTTAGTTTTTTTCATTTAAACTACAAGAATATTCGAGAGAGACACAATATTTATGAACTTATTTTTATCCACGAGCAACTCTAAAACAAATAAAAGTTTATTTGTTTTATGATGGCCATATGGCATGCCTACCTTTTATATTTTATTCTACCTATGCAGTAGGATCTGATGTTTAGAAACACACTAACTGTTTCATTTTGTTTTCAATCATAAAGATTTTCAAATTGATTCAAGTTCGTCTAGGTTGTTTTTATTTATTATATTTGTTTTTTATGATTGTGGTTTATTTGATATTGAGTTAATTGTTACTGGACACGACACAAGACATTGACATGGTTATACATATGATAATATTTAAATTTTATTTATTTATCTATTATTAAAAAAGTTAAATTTTATTCATTGCTTCAATACATGTTTAACCCTTTTAAATATGTGATGTAATAAGATTTTTAAATCATTCAATTTTCCGCAATTTTCTATTTTTTATATATTAAAAGTCTATTAGAATTTCCTTTTTCTATTTTTTATTTCTATTTTGGATTAAAAGTTTATAAGGGTTTCTGTTTTCTGTATTTAAACACCTTTGAGTATGGCCGTCAAGATTATCTTTGATCATGATGAAATTTGATATTTTTTTTATCGGGTGGATTTCAGAGCTTATCTTACAGGTTTTGCACTTGCAATTCTATGTTTTTATTCTAGGTTTAATATTTATTATTCCTTCGTAATTCCAACTGCGTCAGGTGGTATTAGAGAATGTTTTCTATTATTTTTACCACAACCCTAACTGCTTCGACTGAACAAATGATAAGTTTAGCAACTCAGGTGAACAACGCCAACAACAACGGGAACCAGCAAGAGACAAGAGAAGGGAACTAAGTAGGGACCTGCGGGGTGGAAACAATTGTACTATTACCTTTGAAAGTTTAAGTTATGAAGTAGAATAACACTACGAGGAAGAAGTTGATCACAAGAATCAACAAAATAACCATGACTATCAAGTGAAGGCTGATACTCCATTGTTTTACGGATCATTGAAGGTGGAAGAGTTTCTGAATTGGCAAATTGATGTTGACAAGTTCTTCAACGTTATGAGTGTCCCCGAGAACAAGAAAGTTAAGATGGTGGCGATCAGGATGAAGAGTATTACTGATGTCTCGTGGGATAAATTTGTTGTTCAAAAATAGAGGCAAAGAAAAAGTATGGTTAGATCTTGGCAAAGAATGAAACAAGTGATGTTCGAGCGGTTTTTACGGAGGATTATAAGAATATTATTTATAAGATGTACATTGAGTGTGTTTAGGGAAAGAAAATTGTAATAAAATACACAGCTGAGTTCTTGCGTTTCTCTGAGTGTAATGAATTGGAAGAATCAGAGAGCCAAAAAGTGACTCGATATATCAGTGGTTTAAAGGAATCCTTACAGGAGAAGATGGGTTTAGAGACTGTATGAATCGTGGCTGAGGCATCAAGTTTAGCTTTTCCTCAAAATCTCTCACATTTTAGGTATTCGCCCAGAATAAGTTTGAATCAGCAAGCGACAAGGAAAATATTGCAGTAACCAAAGATTTTAACCTTGGGAATAAGGGGGCTAGTAGCCCTAGCGGTGTCCAACAAAGTAAAATATCAGTCTAGAGGCAGAATAATCCATATGTTAAACTCACTAAAAACATGTGTTATCGTTGTAATGGAAGAGGTCACAACTCAAATGTTTGTCTAATAAAGAGTCATTGCTGTTGCAAAAGAAACGGAAGAGGAAGAGAAAAGAGTAGGACATACAGTTGGGAATGATGAACATGCAGAGGTTGAGTTTGTAGAGGAAGAATATGATGATAGGTTAAATTTTATGTTGCATAGGATTACTAGCATTCAAAAATGAAAGACAACGCAATAATTTGTTTAAA